AATAACAGAAGTACATTTGTGAAAAGTTCACAATATTATGCCAAGAATCTTCTCTTGCTAGTGTAAGAAGAACTGCATGTGCCAGAAAACATTGAAATATATCCAGAAAACTTGTAACGTGTGACTTCAGTTACTAATTTAGTTATCTGTACTAATAGTCCATCATTTACTGCCTAAATGACTCTAGCATGCAAGAAAATGAGCAAAACATTTAGGTGTTCAGAGTTATGAAAGTGATTAGCACCATGTGAATAGAAAGAAAGAATTATTAAATATTTTAAATAATAAACAGAAATCCTGATGGACTTTGTATCCAAGATCTCTTGTTTTTTTTGGTCCTGCCCCATCCATGATCAGATGACATCCCATCTGATGCAGAAGCAGAGTTTCGCTTACATCAGCATGATGTAGAAGAGCCAGAACTAAAAGTTTCTGAAGATGAAGAAGGTGAAGAAGGATCAGAAGATGCTTCTTGCAGTGTGACAAAAGGTAATAAATGGCCTTCCCATCAGTATTTGAATTACTGAAATTGCATTTGGGATGGTCTAAGCATTTATTAGATTTAGGAGAAAATAGTTGGTTTTGAACCGTCTCGTTACTCTCGGTGGCAAGATATGTGTGAGCATTAACATTTTGAGAAAAATATTCTGAATCCATTAATTATACAGCTTCCTAAAACATGAGAACGCATATAACTACTTTTTCTCGTAGAAGTTTTTATGTTAAGAAGCTTGTACCGTTTTGGACATTTAAAAAGTTTTGTCCATGTTCCAGATAGCCAGCTTGTAAAAAGCTGAGAAATTTGTAACTGTTTGCTGTGTGCAACATAAAAAAGTAGTCTTATGTGTTTTTGGCAACATTTTTGCTTTCCCTAGATCCATGCAAGCCAACCACCCCTATCCAGTCATCTAATGACAGCATTCTTCCTCTGTCTCCAGTTGATAGTCCCAAAGCAAAACAAGGAGAGGTAAGAAAGGGAATCTTTGAAGTTTTCTAGTCATTACCTAAAGTTCAGTAGAAGAGGTTGTGAATGAACTGATGAGGACTGACTGCAAGGGACTCTCCTCCTTTCCTGTCTATAATTTAAATTAATCTTCTTGAAATCTGACTTTATATTTAGACTTAAAAAAATAACATTCTTTCTTTCTTTCCTATCTTCAGAGTCTAGTGACTCTGTCACAGTCACACGAGGTCATGTCGCAAAGCCCCCAAAAGAATTATGTAGGATATTTTAATTTCAGTGTGCAGTTAACAAGTCATATATGTAATGTATGAGGGGAACTGTTAGTTAAGGTGTTTCCTGTTTATCCTGGTTTGGCCATCTTTTCTGTACCAGAAGCAGATTCTGTACACTGGCAATTCAGAATTACATTTGTTTTACTTAATAGTAACCAAAGCAGTGCTTGTTTATTCCAGAGTAACAACATAGTTCAGCTTAAGGAAATGAGACTTGTCAGTGACATACTGTCATTTTGTCAGCCCTGGCATCAGTGTGCAAGCCTACTGTGGTGTTTCCAGCTAAGGATGTGTAAGAGCAGGAAGTACATGACCCTTAAAATATTCAGTTCAAATTATTCCCTCCCAAGTGTTTGTTTTTAATTACTACAAGATTAGATTTTATCTTAGAGAGTTTTGTATAAGCCAGTTCACTTTTACCACAGCCACATTATGGGGTAAGGCTGGTTTGCTGACAGCAGTTGCTGACAACACTCACTTTCTGTTAAAACAAAGGTGTGTTTTTCCAGGACCAGCTAATGATTCTGTTAGACATAGTTATTGTTTATAGCAGGACAATGCTTGAATACAGTATTCAACACCTGGGTGTTTAATATGCGCCATACAGGCACACACATAGAGAGGTTCATGCTCTCATGGCCATGTGTCACTTAAACCAAACTGTCTGCATTCAAGAGAAAGCTGGTGCAAAAGATGTCATTGAAAAGAATAATACCAGAGCTCAGTAAGAGGAGTCCACTGCCAAAGGGTTAAATTGTAAAACAACAAATTGTGCTATTGAGTAATATGGCAGTCTGGATACAGGAAATGAAAACCAAGACATCAGACCTTTTATGGTCAAGGGAATTGTAGCCTAATTGGCTTTTAGCAGCAAAAGCACCTTTTACTTTAAGAAGGCATTACAGCAGCAGATGCTAGCCAGCAGGAAGTGCTGTATTGATGACAGCTGGCGAGACTTGCGTCAAATCTGAGACAAGCAGCTACTACAGAGTTGGAGATTCAAAAGGGGAGCGGGGAGAAAATAGAAACAAGTTTCTGGAGTTTAGTTTAGTGTATGCTCTTCCAAAAATTTATATAATGGGGCAGAAAAATGAACCATACATGATGAAAGATCTTGAGTGAAGTTCCAGGCCTGCAAATGGGATGCCACGTGTGGTTTTTTTCATATTTCAATACTTGGGTCGTTTCCTTATTGCTAACTTTGTTAAAAGCAAAAAAGAAATAAATAAAAAAATGAAACAGCGTTCCAGCATGACTAGTGACTCTTAATATTTCCTTTTTTCATATTTTGTAGGATGTAAAAGATCCCATGGCTGAAGTACCCCGTGCAATAAAATCTCCAGAGGCACGCTTTTTTCCTGAGCCTTTCCTTCCTGAAGAAGGACCAAAGGATGAAATTCCCAAAGACAGGAAAGTTAAGAGCCCTTTGGTGCCATCATCTCCAGTGTTATCCCAGCCAGTTGCATCGCCAGAGGCCATTGCACCTCCGTCACTAGCAGAGTCTCAGCCAGCAGCACCAATATCAGCTTCATCCCCAACGTCTACTGAAACGCCTATCTGTTCCCAGCCTTTACCTTCTGCTGAAACAACCATTCCATCTCCAGTGGAGCCTCCAGTATGTTTCCAACCCGTCCCAGCCTTAACGTCTACTCCTTTAGCCAAACTAGTCCTTAGGGGGCAGGATAGTGAGGTGGAAAAACTGCGGAGCCCTACTACTGCAGAAGATGCCCTGAAACGGAGTAACCTTGTAGAAGAGTTCTGGATGAAGAGTGCTGAAATCCGGAGGAGCTTAGGGCTCACCCCAGTAGACAGAAACAAACGCTCAGAGCCAAACTTTACTGTATCTGCCCTTGAGACAACTCCTCTGAAGACTTTTAACAGCGAGAATATTTCAGGGGATGAAAGGATCCATGTTGTGAAACCCCAGCCTGCCCCAAGAAGGCAGGGACTATCCAAGTTAGAAAACGAGCAGATTTCTCTGCTCACGCCAAAATCTCCATCAGAAAAAGAGCTGAAGATTTCCAGTGATGTAAGGAGAGATGTATCCAGCAGTTCTGGACTTGGCCTTCAGGAAAGCTCATCTAACATGAGAACTATGGCTAGCCAGAGCTTTAACACTTCTGACTCTACCATGCTTACTCCTCCATCAAGTCCGCCACCACCACCTCCTCAGGATGAAGAACCAGCCACTTTGCGGAGAAAGAGGCATCAAGCAGTGTGGCAGAATGAGGTTGAAGCCAGGTCACCTCCAACACCAGCATCAACACCTCCTGCTCCCCCACGCCGTGAGCCAACCTCTGATGCCAAAGAGTCAACCCAGGCCAAAAAAGACGATGTGCGGAAATCTTTTGCAGAGAGTGTGGATGAGATTCCGTTTGCTGATGATGTAGAAGACACGTATGATGACAGGACAGAGGATTCAAGCCTCCATGAGAAGTTCTTTACACCCCCTACCAGTAGGCCAAGGCCAGAAAAACCACTTCTTCTGCCTTTGGTCAAAGAAAATGGTGGTCCACCCTCAATGGAAGGAGGGGTTAACCAAAAGAAGAGAGCATTGCCTGGAATTTCTGCAGAGGCCAAGGAACTTGCTGAAGAAAGAATGAGAGCCAGAGAGAAGTCTGTCAAGAGCCAAGCACTGCGTGATGCCATGGCTAAACAGTTGTGTAAGATGAAAGACATGGAGATGGCTGCAGCTGCTGCTGTGGGGGTCACAAGGGCACGGAAGGCGTCTTCTATGCCCTTAAAGACCAAAGAGTTCTTTTATGAGTCTCCAAAGCACCTGGCCTTGAAAATAGCAGAGGGATCCACACGAAAGCATGATGCTGCTAGTGAGAGGTTCTCTACTCCTGTTGCTGATGTGGCTGGACCTGAGGGGTCCGTCACGTCTTCAGAAGGCTCCAGTGGGAAAAGTAAAAAAAGATCTTCTCTTTTCTCCCCTCGTAAGAACAAAAAGGAGAAGAAATCCAAAAATGACAGCAGGCTTTCTGACAAATCTAGTGGTGGGACAGAGGAAGCGACAAAGCCTAGGTCATTATGGAAGTCTGTTTTCTCTGGGTATAAGAAAGACAAGAAGAAAAAGACTGATGACAAATCCTGCCCTAGTACTCCCTCAAGTAGTGCCACTGTGGATTCTGGCAAGCACAAAGCTTATCCATTTGTTACGGCTGCAGGTATATAATAGATAACGTGTCTCTGCGCCATGTACTTTTCCTACAGCTAGGTATCCTTGAAAGTAAATTTGGCTTACTTTGTCATTCAGCTACTGGGCTGAATGACACCGCTCTCCAGTGTCAAATGGACAGATCAAGATCAGGGCCAGCAACTAGAGTTGCATGTTGGCATATTGATGGAATAATTTGATATACCACTGAAAAAAATGGATCCTTAAGTAAAAGCTTTACTCTCAATATGTGCAAGGCACATCTGTTTTCCGCCTTAGACAGCTTTGAGAAATAAGCACTGTTTGTTGGAATCGGTTGTTTGTGACATTTCATCTCTGTTTTAAATTGTATCCTCGTCTTTCCCCTGGGTGGTCTGTTCTCCCTCTTTCACCCTGGCTCCATGGATGCTAAATAGTGCAGAGATATATTTACACCTGTGTTCTCAGTGATGCAGTAACTGTCTGCTGATCTATGAAGTGGAGGTTCTGCAGCCTCCCGTGAATCTTTTGCATGCTATCAGGTGCAGGCAGAGATGTTTAATGGCAACGTGTGCTGCAGGAAATAAGTTAGCCTTAAATCTGATCAAAAGCGACCACGTTACATTTCTCTGGCCTTCTACAAATAGGTAAAGTAGTGCCAGCTGCTGTCAGCCAAGTAATGTATCTATCATAAAAGCATTAATACGGTACAGACAAAGAATCGTGTTGCTTATTTTTAACAGAGTTTGCAAACTTTTTTTAGCTTGTAACTAGTATTGATCATTTTGCAGTGCAGTTCTTCTTTGATCACTCTGTAATCCCAAGCGAAGCAGCTGAGACCGACATAAAAGGACTAAGTGGTTTTGAAACTTGATCAAACAACTTACAACTGAGTTCTGAAATGTTTACAGAAAGAACAGTTACTGCTCTCTAACTTTCCCTCTTTATTCCCTGCTTCTCAGATTTGCAGCTCCGTCAGCATCTAAGTTTCTCAGAGGACTCCGACCTTTCCAGTGATGATATTCTGGAACGCTCCTCCCAGAAGTCCAGGCGAGAGGTAGGCTGATGGGAAATGCCTTTTAGATGGATCTAGGATCATGCAAATCACAGGCCTAGAGAGCCAGATCAGAAACTTGGATGGTTAATTTTGTTATTCTTACTGTTTCTTCCATGGAACAGGGTTTGCTGCAAGTTGACTGACTGTTCTGCCTAAAATAAGTTGGTTTCACTTGGTTTCATAATTGCAAGCTACTGTTAAGTATATGAAGGGTCTGTTGTCTTGCTGTGACATTACTGTACAATGAATATCACAGTCAGAATAGTGAATTCTATCCCTGTTGCGAGCATGCCAACGATCTACAGAAAGCAAATATTTAATGTTAGAAAAGTAAATTTTACTGGCTCTAAATTTATTGAAAAAAAAAAAGATAGTTCTCACTTCTTGTAAGGGTCCAATTTTAGGAAATTGTTTTACCAGCCTCTTTGATAGATTGAAGTGGTAGAATTCTAAGCAAACCTCAGACAGGAACGTACTTTTGTATACATCAATATAGTCAAGACAGGTCATCAGTTAAGAGGTAAGCTATAACCTGCAGTTTTGCAATTCGTGAAGGTTTGCATGTTTTTCCTGATAGAAGACAATGTGTATGGTTGAAACAAGTACCTTCTCTTTTTGGAGAAAAGATGAGCCACAACTGTTTCTTCCATTTTGACCTGTTTTCTTTGATAACTTAAAATCATAGAATCATTTATGTTGGAGAAGACCTTTAAGATCGAGTTCATTGATAAGTATTTCCGTATATCTGTGTGTGTAGGTAAAAACTGTGAAGGTGAAGTACGTAGCAGTGAGACCCTGTGAAATGTCAATATGTAGGGGTTGGTCTTAGGCTGGTGTTGTCGTTCCAGTGTGGTCTGGTATGAACTTTGCTTCTTCTGAGCAAACTGTTTCTTATTTCTGACCAACCTTCTCTAGCTAGTGCTATGATGTCATATTGTAAGACATACCAATGGCTTTCTACCCTGAGTAATTATACTTTAGGAAGTAAAGTAAGTTTTACTTTAGAAATTTTACTTTTAGGAAGCTACTGAGGAGGAATGAAGCAACATCAGTGGGTGTCCATAAAAGCCCAAAGAGTAAAATATGTTTAGTTTACTTGCACTTAGTCATATATGGAAGATACATGGTGAGAGCCAAGTGCCAAAGGTATTTGCTTTTAAACTATTTATTTCAATTTTAGGATGGCACCATCAGTGCAAAAATCAGTGAAAAATATGAGGAACGGCTCAATTACAGTAATGGGGAATAACCTTTCTTTCATTCCTGAGAGATTCTAAACTCTGCTAGACAGAGTTTGCAAGTTTTGGTGGAAAAAGTAGAGATTTCATTGTGCCCACAGAACACTAAGGCCCTTGCCGTACTGAAGAATAAAAATTATATTCCATGTGTCCCTTCCTGGTGGCGCCTGGTTCACATGTTTAAAAAAAAAAAAAGGGAAGAAGGGAGCATCGGAGAGGGTGGTGTTACAGACACAGTGGTCTGTGCCTCCTGTCTCAAACCTGTCATCCAGTGTGCACGAATCAGTCTCAAATGACAGGACCTACTTGATACTTGACTCAGATGGCAAAGGTATAGAAGTACTGCAAATTGAGGTGTCATTGGAAATGCTTTTACGTATATATAGTCGAATGAACTAGAATAACTAATGAATTTGAGCTGGTGGAAGGAGTTGATGAAGTAAGTAGGAATGTTCTGTATTTACTTACCTCTCTTTTAATCCCTCTCCCTGGTTGATCTAGATTTCTTCTAAGAGGAAGATTACTTTGTTTTTGGTTTTATTCCCTTTCTTCTCTCCCCTTGCCATTCCTCCTTGCATGCCCTCAAGGCGTTTCATGAGAATTTCTGCGTTTTCCATCAGATGCATAAGAATGAGGTACCTGTGGCTAGCAGAGGACAGATACGCAATATAGGGGGTTCAGATAAGAGTTACAGAGTTGCTCTTCTGCCGTGTAAGCTCATGCTTGTTTTCAGACCTGGGTATGCCTTGATGGTTACTTTTTTCTTCTGTGCTGAGCTACTTAAATTAAAAATGGCTTTTGCAGAAATAAAGATCTTGTCACTAAGTATTGAAGGGAATAGATGACAGTGGCAGATACCTGGAATCCTGGTGCTGAAAATACCTCACCAGCTCTGCAAAGGTGTAGTGGTGGTGTCTCATTTTCTCCCATTTGCTGTTACTGAAGTTACATTAAGATTTTCTTTGCTCAGCATCTGCCTGTTTTTCTAAAGAATAGTTTTGAGAATGGATTTCTTTAAAGGAAACAGATCTAAGAACTCTACTTACCTAGTTTTATTCCATCCTGTCCAAGGATGTAGAACATACATGCAAACACTGGAATGCCTTGCTGTCAAAAGAAATGTAACTGATCTTCAAGACTGACAAAACTGGGTTTGTACTGATTTGAGGTGGGGTTAATATTGTTTAAGTTACGAGCTGCCTGCTACTTATTCTGGGTACGAGTTGACTTCCTTTGTACCACGTAACTTTTATGTGAACCCCGTCTCTAAACTGAAATTCTGCTTGTGCTGCTTTTTTTGGTAATCGTAGTGAGCTTGCTTCCCAGACAGCTTGCTCTATTTAGCCTGTTCTTTGTGATCAGCGGTGAATTAATTCAGTGTTATTTAATGTAGTGTCTTTCAAGAGAAGCTTCCTGTAAAGAATTCCTAATGTAAATGCCCTGTGGGTCTTGTGCGTGTCATTGTGTGTGTGTTTGTCATTGCTCCTGTACAGTTGTGGTGATGTGATCAGATGTGTTTTACTACTGCAGTTAACTTGCTTTTTACTGATGTTTGCATACATGCTGAAGTTGTTCTGTGGCTTTTCATTTGTGACTGTGTTTAGTTAATTGAATGTGAAAAATGCAACATGCTGGCTGTTTGCCCAGAATGGCACAATGCTCTCTGTCCTTCGTGACACAAGGAAAATTCACCTCTTTTATAAAGTCCACTTGCCTTATTTTTGAGTACAGGGTAACACAGAATGCCCTTGGATAGAAAAGGTAGTGATTTTTCCTCCTTTTCTCCTCCTTTTCTCCTTCTCATGATTTTAGCTCCTCAGGCTCTCTTGAGGCTCTCTTTTCAGACAGGGATATTCCATTACTCTAGGACACATAACCCATTCTGAGCCCATCTGGTGTTTCTCCTGTCATGAAGTGGTGGGGAAGATTTATGATGTTAGTTAAATGCAAATGATAATTTCTATGAAGTAGAGATAATTTAAAACCATGAAACAAACACAACTCCTAGAAGAGGTTACAAATCAGATTTTAAAGGGAGAGTTGTGTGGCAGAGGAATATATGGTTGGCTGAGCCGGTTCAGACCAAGTGTGTCCCAGCATAAACCATTATTGCAAATCCGAAGCCAAAACTTTGTGTATGTACATGTACTTGCTCAGTGGACATTAAAAACATTGGTAGATTAAAGCCATATAAAAAAGGTATTTCCAAGTTGAATTACCTGTATCTTCAAAGAGGCTGCCAAACCTAATTCCCTTCAGAAGAGTGCTAGAAACTTGATTTTGGAGATCAAAGTTCCATTGTGCTTCATCAGTCTGGGTCACGTTCAGCATTTGCACAATTTTATGTTTCATTTAAAAACAGCTTTGTTTTATTACTGTGCATCTGTTTTCAATGTTGAACTGATTTTGCTTCATTTTGTACGTGTTTTTTTTTCCTTTACCATTCCCCCTTTAAAGTCGATTTATGTACCACACGCCTTGGCATTCAAGAGATCATATTCGTCAAAGGTAGTGTCTCCATTCCCACTAGTTGGCCATTGTTGCATTGCATGTCCCTATATTAACACATTGAATCCGTAGCTACCCATCACATGTGCACTAACATCACATTGACTGTGCATGCGTGAGATGTTAGCAGACACGGGCACCACATTCTTTATGTAGAGTTTGTCTACCAAAAATGTATTAAGCTCCGAATTGTCTGTCTGATTAGAATGCATGCAATTAGCAGTGCACAGAGTGCACCACTGTACAGAGTGATGTGGATGATCCTTTGAGCTTCAGAACAAATTGATTTTCAAGGCAATTAAATATGTATGCATATTCTTTTTTTAAAACTTAGAATATGAGTTCAAGTGAATCATCACACTTTAATCAGTGTCCTTCAAAATTGTTGAGTTCACTGAAGTCTTAGTGAAACTCTGGATCAAGCTAAAATCAAGACAGAACTTGCATTTCTATTTCAGGAATGGTGCTACTTTCTGAAATTCTTATTGTCCTGTTTTCATAATCACAACAGTGGTTACATGGGGTAGGAAA